AATCTTTTTGAAAAAAAATCTTAATTTATTATTAAAACAACTCAGAAAAAAGTCTAAAAAGCAAATTTGAGATAATTAACCATAATCTTTTTACAGAGTTATGGTTATTTTAACAACTACTTCCAAGTGTTCATTTTTATAAACAATTATTTTCAATCCTTCATTCCCTCTTCTGAATTATGACCATATGCATATATATTTTCCAGAGCTGTAAACATAACGTATAACCATTATGCTTTTTAAAAATACTTGACATTATTTTCTAAAGTTTTATGTGTTTACATAGTCATTTTATTTATTTGAATGGCTTTCTATTACAACCTATTGTTCTACTGTGACTGACTTAACTACTCCCAAACTGTCAGGTGTTTAATTTTCTTTCCTATTACATATATATGTAAATATTGCTACAATAAAAAAATCCTCTGTGTACAGTATTTTTTAATCATTATTTTTGGTTCTTTCTTCGAGATCTTTGTTGGAATGGGTGGATTGCCAGGTTGGCGATGTACCTGTTCGGCCCTCGGTGGGGTGTCAGACCGCCCCCGGAAAGCGTGGCAGCCGCTCTCGCTGCCGCCAGAGATACCCGAACACCGCATGCTCCTGTCCTCAATGACATTGCTTTATCATTGATCATTGTTTCCTGTTTTAAATATTCTCATTTGTACTTTTCCAATTACTGAGGCTAGTTTTAAAGGTTCGCTTTCTTGATCTCCTTTTGTATGAATCATATATATTTATATCCATTGCCCAATTATACATTTCAGAAAAATTTGAAAAAAGCTGTTAACCCCTTTCCTAACATGGGACATGTTTCTCCATTTGCAAGTTTCCTTGATAGTTTTGTTCTGTTAGATTTTATTAGACGGTGGTTGGAAATTTTATACGGCTGTGTTTGTATTGTTGTAAACGCTCCTGTTGTTTCAGTTGCTAAAAAATACTATTTGTTGGAATAAATGTTTTATGACCAGTTGCTTTATTTTTGAAAAACAATGAACACTTTAATCCATCTGAAGCTTTTGATCTGAAGAATGAAACATAACAGTTTCTCTTCACTGAGACTTAATTTCAGCCCATGCTTCAGAGGTACTTTAGCCAATAAAAGGCCGCCCCATCCTGGCGTGGCCTACGTTCTTTTATGTTAATTTTGATTTTTATGTCTAAAAATTCTTCAAATTTTATAGATGTTAGCAAATAAAAAAACTGTGAGAACAAACACCATGTAAAACTAACAACGAAACAATTTATTTCTGGGTCAGGTTTAGCCTCTGAGCTGTCAGACTATATCCTTTGATCTACACAGCTTTATGGCTGTGTCCTTTCAGTGTTACGGTTTTTCATTATGAATCAGCTATTGCCTTTATAGCTGACATGTGATTTGCTGCTCTTCACACAGCCTCTGGCCACCAGGATAGTTGTGGTCCCAATACGAATGCAAAGGGATCCAGTTTTGATTCTCAGGCTGGTGGGCTGACTTCTCTATATGATGCTACCTTATCTTAAAACACTTCTTTTCAATTCATGCTACATAGATAAAACACAGTAGCCAGAATAACTACCTACTCTACATTCTAACAGAGAGAATCAATAGCGTAAGTCAAGAATGGAATTTGTAATTAAAAAAAAAAATTCCTGGAAAGTTTTTCCTTGAGAAATCTTCTAAAGACTCATAGTTTGAGAAGATAAACTGACTGTTCTAGTTTCATATTTTTTCCTGTGTTTCAAAAGAAGAAGTGTCTAGTGGCTGGCAACATATAGTAGAGAAAAGACACAATTGGTTCATAAGAACATATTATTACTGACCTCCATAGCCTCAATAGACATTGGTTGCTGATATCAGTTTAATCTAAATACTGTCAATGTTTTTCAAGATGAGATAAATGTCTAAGATGATTTAAGACTGCCTTGCCGAATACGTGTGTGTGTGTGTGTGTGTGTGTGTGTGTGTGTGTGTTGCAAAGAATAGAACCTAAGAGGCTGGGTTCCTTGATAAGCAATTCACCTCTTATGTGAAAATTGAGGCTTGATTTGATTATGTGAACAAGACTATCAGAATAATTTGAGGCAGGTAAATAGGAACCATAAAAATATGAGACAATACGGTGAAGTGGGAAAAGTTCAGTGTTTGGGGTCAGGAAGGCTGGTTGAAGGCCTTGCTTTGCTACTAACCATCAGGGAGGCCTTGGAGAAGATTCTAGATCTCTCTACAGAATTATCTGTAAAACTGAGATGATGGCACACACCTCACAGTGCTGTTGTAATGATTAAATGATACAACAAATGTAGCAGCCTCTGGGACGGTTGTTCAATAAATGTTCACTATTTATCTCACCCACAACTATACAGAACTATATTTATTGGCAACCAGTAACAGAGAGAAAAATCAAAGCATTCTAACTTGGAGGTAAATATGACCTTTCTTCCCCCAAAGCCATCTAAAATCAGATCCTTCCCATTGCTGAAGCTAGAAACAGCTTCTCAGTTCAAGGTTACTGCCCCAAAGCCTTGGGTAACTATACTAAGTAGACTGATAGAGCAGTTGGCTTAATTCTAGCCACTCTAGAAGTGGAAATATTTTCCTCTTCTTGTTAAATTTGAATATGTAATCCAACATGTTTCAAACCCTTGGCCACAATTTTTAAAATTTCCACATTTCACTGTGCAGATTGCAGAGTATATAAATAATGTCTCTTTTTTAAAGGTCATCTGGCTAGCATTATATATGCTCACTTTCCTCATGCAGTTTCCTCCATAAGTCACAGGTTCGGCTGGAACGAGAGAGCCTCTCTCTTTTAAACTTTCTCCAGCTGAGAATTTTGCTGTCTCCTCTGCAAATGAGGAGATGGGAGGACCTTGACATTGTTTTCTTTCTGGATTAGGATCACACAAATATCCAGTTAAATTTAGAGTGGGTGTGGTCTAAGTACTAAGTAAGGGTTCTAAAAGTATCAGTAGGCTTCCTGTCTCCCTTATGCAGGGATCTAATAGAAGTGGAGGAAGGGGGAAGAGAAGGAAATCAGTAGAATGAACCCATTGTGCTCTAAGCACTTCACATATTTCTTTCTTTCTTTCTTTTTTTCTTTCTTTCTTTTTTTCATGTTTTGTCTTTTTGAATCCTCAAAATAACCCTGGGATATAGGAGGAATGACACAGAGAGGTTAAGTAACTTGCTCATGCTCACACAGCTAGTAAGAAGTGACTGTAATAAAAACCCAGTTTAAACTGAATCCAAACCCAGGTGTGTTTGAGTCTTAGAACTATGTTACCCTGCAGTAGGAGCATGACCCATATCACTACAGCGTTGGGAGCATTTACTGATTATTAATACTTTTTTTTTTAGGACTGCACAAGAATTAAAGGGACAGGGATTCCTATTCTTTTTGGTTCCTAAGTAATCTATTAAATAAAAAGCATGGCAGGATGCCTTGATAGATAGGTTATCCTGAGAATAATTAAATCTGTGGAGCTATTTTTCCTTTTTTTTTTCCCCCCTGGTTAATACTAGCTTCCAGTTTCTTCAAAACATAAGGATAATAAATGTCCTTGAAACAGATCTTCCTTGTCCTGAGGAAAATCACCTGAGTTTTATCTCGGCTAAGAATGTGTAGGGAGAGTATGTTTCATTGTCCTGGGGTTATAGAGTCTTCAGCACCTCCCATGGGGAGTGGTCCCCTGGGAGAAACAGGGTTGGGATGAAGTGCGACCTCAGAGAGCTGGTAAGGTCTAGGGTACAGGCAGCAATGTACTTACTGGTACATTGCTCTTCAAAACAAACAAAACCAAATCAACTACGAGTTTTTGCTTTTTTTCCATATTACTCCTACCACAGCTGATTTCAAGATGTTGACATGATGTCACTGAACTTGGAGCTGGGAGAAATGCAAACCCACTGGCCCTCGCCTGTGTGACTAGACTCCAGCACAGCTCTTGGCTGCAGGCTTATTAGGGTGTGAGGAACTCTGGGATGAGAGAGCTCTCAGCCTCCCTGCCAGGCCCCAGGTCTGATTTTTGGAACTAGGCTTAGTTGGTGCAGATGGCTTTCGCCGCTGCTGCAGGGATGTGCCCACCCATCTTTGACCCCCTAGGAACAACACCACGTTAGCATCCTGGGGAGAGTCCAGTGCCTCTGGAATCTCTACTGCCTCTGCCCCAGGGAAGGATGACTTTGAAACTGTCCCATTCTCATCTGAGTAGTGGAGGTGAGAAAGCTTTCCGGAACGGTTCCTGCCTTGTTTGGCTGGAAACCCCTTAACTGAACCTAATACCGAGCTAGGCAACCGACCTTGAAGACCCAGTGCCACTGAGGCTGACAGTTGGGCAGGGCACTAAGTCCAGCCTGAGCATTTCTTACCGGAGCCCTGAGCCCAGTTTCTGCCCGGGAGCTGGAGCAACGCCTGCGGCATGAGGGGCCTAAATGCATTCCTAACCCTCAAGACATGCTTGGGGGTTTGTAGATGCATTATGAGGAGTGGGATGCGGCCGGGAAAGGGAAAGATGAGCTTCTGTTGCTCAGAGGAAGGTGATGAAAAGGCGCTCAGACAAGAGAAATGGGTCTCTGTTGCTACGATGCGAGGTTAACAATCTCTCAAGACACCCGAACACCACAAGGAAATGAAAACTGTTAACCTAACATGGGTTTGAACTGTAAAATTATTTCCCACATAGAAAATCATGAGAAGTAAAGGCAAAGATGTTTCCTTATTCTTGAACTTTTAAAGTTCTCCTTGACTCTTTATAGTTTGGTCTCTGAATCAAAACAAAGAAAAAGCCATTTATAAAAGCCGTTTCCTCCCCATTCCCCGGCAGGCTCCTTCAGGTGTTCCTCTCAGTCCCTGGGAGAAGAAGAATTGGCACCAGTTGGTCATGAGGTTTGTGTCAGAAAGTGTGGCTTCACAAAGAGAAATACTTCCAAGTCAGTCAGAAAGACAGTTGCTGGGCGTCTAGAGTTGATCTTGAGAAAAAGACGTCAAAGTCATTGTTGGGTGGCGCTCTTAAAAAACTCACACAACTACCACCAACTTCTTGTGGACCTCCAAGCCCTTAACCGCAGCTGTGAATTCCTCAAAGGATATTTTCCCATCTCCGTCCGTGTCCAGGGTGATGATGGTTTTGTCCACGAGCTGCTGTAACTTCCAGTCTTTCAGGTTGTTCCCCACCATCATCTTTAGCACCTGGAAGAGCTCCCCGTTGGAAATGTAGCCATCTTTATCCATGTCGTAGATGTTGAAAGCAAACCTTAGCTTCTCCTCCTCATTTCCCTTGACACTAAACTGGGAGGTCCCCACGATGAATTCCTCAAAGTTCACCTCCCCGTTGCCATCGGCGTCGAAAACCTCGATCACTCGCTGCACTAACGGGTTGTGCCGCAGCTCGGGCAGGGACAGGAACTCGTCCACGCTCAGGGCACCTGACGAGTCCAAGTCCAGCTTCTTAAATCTCTTGCCCAGCCTTTTAATTTCATCATGGTCAAAGTGGGAGCACATCTCCTCCGGGTAACTGGCCTCATTTCCCATTGTGGACGCCCAGCCCGCTCCCAGGGGCGCAGGGGCGGTGGGCGCCAGCTCGCACGCGGGGACAGTTGCTCGGCGAGAGGGCGAGGGGGCTGGAGGGGCTGCTCGCGGGGCTCTGCCACCGGACCATGAAATAGGCGGCGCTGGGAGGGGGTCTCGGGAGGCGGTGGTGAAAGAGGAGGGAGAGAAAGAGGGGAGACAGGGCGGGAGGGGTGGCTCGCAGGGCAGAGGAGATGGCAGGACAGCAGAGGAAGAGGCTGGGAGCAGCTACTCTTCCTTCATCCTGCTCTCAGCCCCTAGTAGGTTTCGTTGAAAACCCCTGTTCTCCTTGCTATTCCTTTCTTCTTCACTTTTCCTTTTTTCCTTATACGCTAAACTCCAAGGGGCCAGTGGCTGCAATGGGTACTACTCAGGGCAGCATCCCCAGCACAGTGCCAGACATACAGTGCCTGCTTCATAAATGAAAGCTGATGGCGGAGTGAACTGCAGTCAAAGGCTCCGTATGCTGACCTTCCCGGCCTAGTGTGAGCACTAGGTGAGAGAATGCACCAAACCACTCCTGTTATATATCCCCTAAATCCTCCCCCAGGGGAAGCCAGGATAGGTCACTGGCCTTTTTTCAGGACAGGGTGCTCAGGGTCTTTTTAAGAGGCGGCTCAGATATCACACAGAATGGCTCACGTGGGTCACCTACAGGTAGCAGCGTATTCCTGAGGAACGTTCACAGTGCTGGGTTCGGGGCATCCTTCAAGAAGACACAGCCACCAAGAGTATAGCCTCTGTCAGGCTATTCCTTCCAATCCATCATCTCATGCACAGCCTGTATCTTTGTTGGCTGTCCTGCAGGGCTCTTTGGGGCACAGCTGCAACATGCCAGTGAAGCCCTCTGTGTGTGTTGAGAGGGACAGCGGCTCCTAGGCTATCTCACTCTTTCCCTCTTCCTTCAAAGGGTGTGTCCTTTCTGTTGAAGATTGGTATCACATGCCCTCATATTCCCTTTTCCTTTAGGAGCACATCAGTTACTCCAAATGCATAAAAAATCCATTTGGTTCAAGAACAATGGAGTTCAAAAGGACCCAGGGGAACCCCAGGCCACAAAATCAATTTGAAGATGGCCCTGGCCAGATACTCAGTTGGTTAGAGCATCGTCCTGATACGCCAAGGTTGCAGGTTCAATCCCTGGTCAGGGCACATACAAGAATCAACCAACAAATGCATAAATAAGTGGAACAACAAGTCGACGTTTCTCTCTCTAAAATCAATAAAAAAATTAATTTGAAGGGGGCCAAAATTCCCTCATTTAAAAAATGCTGGCATATTTTCTATTCTTCAGTTCAGCCAAAGTATCGGTCTACAGGTGACCATGCTGAAACTGACACAAGGCCACAGGACACCTTACCGCCGGCTCCAGACAGTTTAAGGGAAAAGAAGTCCAGAGACTAAAATATTTGATAACTGAATTACTATCCAGACTGACTGAATTAACTAGATCTGAAAGAAGCATTATAAGGAAAAAAAGAATTTAAAATTCTTAGCTGTCTGCTGCTTACTAGCAATAAGGCCTTGGGCAAGTTGCTTAACATCAGTTTCCCATCTGTAAAATGTAGCTAGTAATATATTTTGTACACTTGTATGAGGATTAAAGGTGACGTTAACCAATGTGATAAATCATTATCATTATTACTAATTTCATTACTATTTACCCTGCTGGTGGCGATGACATCTTCCAAAAGAATTCTTGGCAACCTGGGCTCTTAAGGGCATGTTATGTCTGTTTAATGACCATACCTCATATATTGTGTACAGGGTGCCACTCAGTGCTTTAAGCATTTTACAAGCATTCACTTTGGCTCCTCCGGGTCAGCGTTCTTTGGGACTAACTGCACACTTTCCACTGCAGGCTCGAGGAATCCAGTGACCGGCCTCACTGGCCCATCAGGCACACCTACGGAATCCTCAGACTTTCTCCTGAGTAAACGTCTTGATGGTGGTCATTTAGGAAGGAGTCATCAGTGGGGAAACTTTCAGTAAGTGTATCCCTCTATGAGGATGTGTTAGGAGGAGGAATCAAAGGGGAAGTGCAGGGGGCCTAGGAATTAAACAGATCAGGTTCCAAGGCTCTACGTTACCTCTGTTAGTTTAGAAGAGCTATTACTGTCCCCGCCTCAGTGTCCTCATCTGTAAAAGGTGATAATAATTATGCCTGCTTTATCTACTGCATGTGGCTATTATTGTAAGAGTGAGATGAGACCATGCATACAGAAATGTCATGTAAGAGGAGAAACATTGTCTCAAGAGTTAATTAATTTAATGGTCAAATAGATAGTACTGGGAAGATGGTACCATTTCATTGAAGTAATTCATGTGTGCAACCAGAATTGCTTTACTCCTCCCTGGTAGAGGATGTACTGTTATGCTGGACCTGAAGTTTCAGTCAATGTGAGGGTGAGTTCCTCATCATTCCCCATTTCATAACCTTGGTAGTTCAGCATTATTACGGGATTCAAGGCCATTGTTTCGATTTTCTCTGGCCATTGATCTCAGTCATTTCTATGGAAAAAAGTTTTTGTTCCTTTTTCCATTTAGAACTGTGGAGGGATCTGGAGAGTCGGACAGTCACTGTAGTAACTAAATTAAAAGAGTTGACAGGTTGCTCTGGAAGAAATCAGGAGCCCAGTGGACTTTCCATTTGAGCAAGTTATATATTTTTTTTCCTCAAGAGTTTCCAGAGGAAGAACTATGAGATGATTACGTGCAAAAATGTCTGACATTGGAAAATAAAACCAACAGAAATGTAAGTGATGAGGCCTGAGGCTCATATGAGGCCATTCTAGGAACTTTTCAGGAATCCTGGACCTTTAGCTGGAAGTTCTCCCCTTCCAGCTAAATACAGTGATGTTATCAGTCACTGTATTTAACCTCTATCTATACTGAGGTCAGTCACCATGTAGACTGTGGGACCCATAGCCCTGAGTTTAAAACCTTTCATGAGCATCAGATTTCTCATTTGCAAAGGCAGAATAGTATAACGATGGCATAGTGTTATTTTAGGTTTAAGTGGGATAATACCTAAAATGATAACTGAAAAAAACATCTGAAATAGCCTGCCAGCACACAGGAGGTGCTTAGTATATTTTGCCCCTGGTCTGCTTTACTTTCCTTTTCCTAGCCTTTATTTGTTTTCTGAAGCAGAAATTTGACTCTGGCTCTATGTGTTTTGTATTCTTAGGATGAACAAGCTTTGTTTTAAGTGTAAAGCCACTTAAAAATAGATTGAGCACCCACTATGTGCCATGCTCTGTGCCAGGTCATGGGGTTTTCTTTGGTGAATGAGGGCAAGTCCTTTGAGAAATATATAGTTTCACCATTAAGGAATGTACAATTTAGTAAGCAATATGGCTTTAAGGGTTTATTTGCTCTGTCTTTTACATTTATCATGCATAGTCAAAAGGATCAAAAGCATTATGCTTGACTTTCTTTTGTAATTCTGGGCTAGATTTTTAATATGAGCTTTAGAGAATATGATTTATCAATCCTAGTTTTTCTATTTAATAACTTTGTGATCTTGGGCAGAGTCGCTTGTTTGAGTCACTGTTTGCTCATCTGTAAAACAAGGATACAAATGCTAACTCATAGCGTCATCCTCAGGAATAAATGAGATAGAATACAGAAAGAATTAGACTCAATGCTTAGCACAAACATAGTAAGTACAAACATGGTAGATGTTGTCACTGCCTACTGGAAAATTCTAATAGACTGTTTGCATATATACACATGCAGATATTTGCAGATATACTCAACTATTTGTTTTCTTCACAAATATTTATTGAGCATCTACTACATGAGAGGGACACAACAGTGATCTAAAGCAGATACTTTCCAGGTTGTCTCTGTCTTCATGGAACTTACAGTTTTGTAGGAAAGTTGCATATTAGCTACCCTAGCATGCCCATAAATGTTAAAGAAGCACCAGTGGTGATATAGATGAGAGATAATACAGCAGGAATTTGATCCCATCAGAGAGATTCACAGAACTTTTAATAGGGAACTAGTGATTGAGCTGAAATCTCAAGAAGGAGAAGTTAACAGGAAGTTCTAGGCAGGGATGGGTGTTCCAGGAAGAAGGAGCTCCCTGTGCAAAGGCCCTGGGGCAGGAGGAGCGCGCAAAGCAGGAGGACCAGTGTGGCTGAACAGGCAGGTCAGGGGAGAGCATAGTATCAAAGTGAAGAGATGGTGTGACCACGCCCTGGACACTGAAGAGAGGGCAATATGTATTCAGTCATTCCATACAGGATATAATTTACTCAATGCTGTTACAACATGTAAACGGGGCACTCCCACCCTGCCGCCTTCTCAGCCAACAGGACTTGAAATCCCACCACAGCTGTATGGGGAGGAAGCACCTTCAGAAGCCTTAGATTTTAGGAAATGTCAGGACAATAACATCCTTAGGCTCAGTTAATGCCGTTTGTGGGGAACAAAAAAGATGGCTTTTCTGATATTTTGTGACATCTCACATCACAGACACTAGGTGGCAATCTTCACACATTTCGAGGCTTTCTCTGTTTACTTCCAGCCAAGAATCTCCAGAGCCTGCAGGTAACTACCTAGCACAGGGAATAATTAGGGAGGAGGCCCGTGTCCTGGGAGCACCCATAGATTTCAGTGTAAGGCAATCTAAAAAAGTGGAAGACTCTCGCTGTAGTCCTAATCAGTATGAGCCCTGTTCATACCTTTTAGTTACATAATAAATAAATAACATCCATAAATATTCATGAGTTCACTGAATTTAACCAGGGGAAAAGTAAGAACAATTGACAGTATGTGCTCTGGGGTATAATTTATGTCCCAAGCATCTCTGGTATATAAAAGAGGGGACCCTTATTCCATGAGATCTGTTTATGTCGTCATTAGCAAGGGTGATGGGGAAACTGGCTGGAATTAGTTTTTTTTTGTATCAGAATTCAAACTTAGTAACCGGAGAGCAACAGAGAAGCAGTCCT